CGTTAGCTTGCGGGTGTGCTGGCGAATAGCAGATGTGCTTGATACCCAACTCTCAGCAAAAGTCCCAAAAAGCTGCATTGTCGAATTGTTTTCCATTATCACTAATAATGGTGTAGAATATCCCAAAGCGACAAATTATGCTTCTCCAAATAAAGTAGGTGATCTTCTTCTCAGTGATTGTCGCTCGGGCTTTAGCCTCGACCCATTTGGTGAAATAATCAACTGCTACCACCGCAAACTTGGTCTGACCTTTTCCTTGTGGGAGGGGCCCTATGAGGTCTATTCCCCATTGGGCAAATGGTCAGGGACTTATTATATTGGTTAATGGCTCTGGCGGCTGCCTAGGCACTGTTGCGAACCGCTGACATTTGTCGCATTTCCTCGTAAACTGTGTTGCATCGCTTAGCATGGTCGGCCAGTAACACCCTTGTCAGATGATTTTGTGGCTCAGGGATCGTGCCCCAGAATGGTTACCACAAACGCCTTCGTGTATCCCCCTCATAACATAGTCAGCTTCTTATGGCGCTAAACATTTTAAAAGTGGCAAAGAGTAGCTTCTTGTATACAGGCTTCCATCTCTAAGCACATACCTAGCTGCTCGTCGTTGGAGTTGTTGGGCCTCTATCCTTTCATCAGGCAGAGTCCCATCCCTTAAATACTCGATCAAAGGGTTCATCCAGTTATTCTCGGGTTGACCTGGTTCGTCTATATCCATTGCCTTCTGGACCTCTATGCTCGGCTTGGGTAAAATTTCTACTGGTACAGTTCTTCCCAGGTCGGTTTCATAGGCTACCGCCAGCGGTGCTAATGCATCTGCGTTGACATTCTGAGTACATGGAATTTGCTGGATCTCGTATTTCGAGAATTGGCCGAGCTGGTCTCTTACTCGGGAAAGGTGCCTCGCCATTCATGGTTCTCTAGTTTGGAATTCCTCTTTCACCTGAATTATAATCAACTGTGAATCACTAAGTATTAATATGTTTGTGACTCCGATATACCTGGCTACTCTTAATCCCGCTAGTAGAGCTTCATACTCAGCCTCGTTGTTGGAGGCGTGGAAACTAAATCGCAGCGCATATTCGAACCTCTCCCTATCTGGGGAAACTAACAGAAGTCCTGCCCCGCAGTCTCTGAAGTTTAAGGACCCATCTACGTACAAGGTCCAGGGCCGCTATGCTTCATCAGCTTGTGGAACGATACTACATACTTGATGTTCTACCGGTGTTAATTCTGGTATGAAGTCTGCTACGGCTTACCCCTTCATTGCAGTTCTTGGTTTGTAGTGGATGTCGTATTCGCTGAGCTCTACAACCCATTTTACCATTAGGCTAGAAGTCTCGAGCCTTTGCAGAATCTACCGTAGAGGAAAATTGGTGAGGACAGTTATCTTGTGGGCTTGGAAATATGGGCGTAATCTCCTAGCCGAGGTAACTAATGCCAATGCCAGCTTTTCCACTTGAGGGTATCTAACTTCTGCATCCACCATTGCTTTGCTCGTGTAGTAAATTGGAGATTGTCGCCCGTTTTCCTCCTTTATCAATGCCAAACTCATAGTGTTGTCGGATACGGCTAGGTACAAGTAGAGTTCATCTCCCGTGACTGGTTTTGAGAGGAGCGAGGTTGCCCCAGGTATTGTTTTAACTCTTGAACGCAATCTCACACTCTTCAGTCCATTCAAATTGTCCTTTTTTCCTTAGGACTTTAAAGAATGGCAGGTACTTCTCGGTTGAGCGACTGACAAACCTGTTGAGTGCCGCTATCCTCCCATTGAGCCCTTGTAGTTGCTTTAAATTTCTAGGGGAACTCATCTCCAACAAAGCTTTGATTTTATCTGGGTTGGCTTCACTTCCCTGTTGGTGTACCAAGAATCCAGGGAATTTTCCTAAAGTCACCCTAAACGTGCACTTACTGGGATTCAGCTTCATCTTGTATTTCCTCAAAACCCCAAATGCTTCTGCCAGATCTGCTTCATGTTGATTGCTTTTCCGACTTTTTACTAACATATCATCTACGTAGACCTCCATGTTCCTGCCAATTAACATCGCAAACATTTGGTTTACCATTCGTTGGTAAGTCTCGCATGCATTCTTTAACCAAAAGAGCATTACTGTGTAGCAATATAGACCATGATTTGTGACGAATGAGGTCTTCTCCCGATTCGATAGATGCATCTTAATCTGATTATATCTGGAGTAGGCATCCATGAAACTCAATCTTTCATGTCTAGCGGTGGCGTCGACTAGTTGATCTATACGAGGTAAAGGAAAAGAATCCTTTGGGCAAGCTTTGTTTAGGTCCGTAAAGTCGATGCACATTCGCCATTTGCCATTTGGCTTCCTTAATGGGACCACATTAGATATCCATTCGAAGTAATGGAGCTCTCGGATGAAACCCGCTTTTAGTAGTTCCTCCACCTGTTCAGCCACGATCTCGTTTCTTTCCTCATTGAAAGCGTGCGCTTCTGTTTTATTGGTTTATAGCTCTCGTCGACATTGAGTCGGTGGATCATGACTCCTCGATCGATTCCTGGCATATCCTCATGTGACCATGCGAATACATCAGCATTGCTTCTAAGGAAACTTATGAGGCTCGTTTTCTCCTTATTCCCCAACCTGGTTCCAATGTTGACCCGTCGATCGTCGGATGTCAAGGGGATAGATTCCACCTCTTCAGTCCGGTCTCCCCTGTCGAAGGTGGTCGAATTTGGTAGTTGATCAGGGCTCGGACATATCTCTCCTGAGCCGTCGACTGCCCTATCCCCGGGTGTCAGGGGTATGGATTCTACCCCTTCAGTCGGTTCTCCCTTGTCAAAGGTTGTCTGGTTTGGTTGATGACCAGGGCTCGAACATATTTCTCCCGAGCCCATTGGCTGCCACCTCAAGGCTTTCTTCTTCGAAACACTGTTGACCTCCAAAGTTCGTATCAACTTGCTTCATTCCGACCTTCGATTTGGGCTTCGTCTAGGTTCTTGGCTTAATCTTGTATCGTCCCCACAAACGACGTCAAATGTTGATGCTGGGATTCTGGTAGACCAGTTCTCTCCGCTCCGCGTACCAACTCAAATACTTCGAGACCAAATACCTGCAAAATCGAACAAAACCCTAACCTGGTGTGACTTCAGTCACACTGGCTCCGATGCCTAAGTTAGCAAAAGGAGAGATCACTAAACATGTAAGACACTTGAAAGTGTAGTTCTGGCTTATCTTCAAAAGGTCACCCCCTCACTATTTATAGTCGATTTGCCCCCCTAGGGTTTCTCAGGATGCCAACCCTAGCTTTGATATTTGCAGGCTTTAGGCCAGGATGCCTCCAGCATCGGCAGAGGAACAAGGACAGGGCTCGGCTTTGGGGCCCGAATGCCATACACTTGAAACAGGGACCGAGAGGAAAAAAGGAAAGCGCCGAGGGCCTTCTCAACCTAAGGCCGAGAAGGGGTTGGCCCTTTGGTGGGCCGACCTTTGTGCTTTCATCCGGCTATACCTATCCATGGTCCCGGTTGTCTTTCCTGATGTATTCGAATCTTCTACCGTATTGTTCCATACATAACAAAAGTCATGATTTTGTGAGATGCTAGGATATTATTGTAAAATATTTCCCTGGTCCATATATGTGCCAAGAGCAAGATTTTATAGGAACTGTCTTGGTTATTTTGAAAACTATTTTTGATAAATGGGTTGTGTTATCATGTTTTACATATTTAGATTCCGAGATTTAGAATACCAAGATTGCCCTCATTATTACTTTTATATTTAATAAGATTTTTGTTTTTTTAAAATGTTTAGATTTTATTTTTAATTAAATGTTTCTCAATTTTTAATTTCCAATATTAAATATGATATACCTAGATTTTCAAACATTAAATTCTTGTTTGCCAAAATCATTTATTTCCCTAATTTTCTCTCTTCAGTGTTATACTCTAAATCATTCCATTTCTATAACAAAAACAAATTTCTCAATCTTTTTCTCTAATCAAAATAAACATTCAAATCCTTTAATTTTCTGTGGTTTGAATTTTCCTGTGGTTCTTATTTGAATTTTTCGACGTTTTTTCGACGTTTTTTTTTACGTTTTTTTTTCAAAAGTATGATAAATATATACTCCTCTAAAAACTTATATAATATATACTTTTCATTAGTTTATATAGATTATATAATATATTCTAGAAATCCTTATATAATAGATTTTTCCTTTTAACCTTCATTATGATAAACATGTACTCCTCGTTATATAAGAAATTAGAAAGTTATATAATATATTTTTTTTATCTAACTTACAGTATGATAATAACATATCCCAGGTTATATAGCTCATTTGTGACATCTCTATTTTATTCTTTGGAAAAGAGAGAAAAAAAAACTAGACACCTTATCATTCTCTTCCTTTGACCAAGCCACCGCCCCCTATTCCAGCGCCTCCCTTGCCAGTGATGACTCTCCAACGACTGCATCGTCCCGACGCTCGTTCATGGTAGATTATGCATCGCTCGTTCATGGGTTTTAAATTCGTCGTCGAAAGTCTTATCTTTCAACGACCAATTCAGTTTTGGTCGCCAAAAGTAGTACTTTCGACAACGAATTCAATTGTCGTTGTCGAAGGTTGCCTTTGACGACGAAGTTTCTTGTCGTCGCCAAAGATTGAAATTCTTGTAGTCGATTGTGCCCCATGGTGCTGCACCGCAAATCTGGACGTAGAGGTCGCTTAAGATCTGGTCAGGTTCATTGGTGTTGCGTCGCCTTGGGTGTTGTGTCACATGGATTTGGTCAGATTCGTGGGTGTTGCATGAATGTTTGCTCTCACTAGAGGAAGGAGAATGGGGGCGGCAAATTTTGGTGGGGGAGAAAGAGAGAGATTAGGGTTTCATGGAATGAAGGAGAAAAAGATGAAGAGAGATATGATTTTTTTTAGAGAGAACGAGATTTGAAATTGAAAATCTTTTCATATTTGAATTTTTCTTTAATTGTTTATTAAATATAATTTAAGAGGGCAAAATTGTAAAATTATATAGGAGTTCCATCCTATACGAACTCATTTTAAGACAAAAATATAAAATCTTAAACAAAGGCCCTGCAAGAATACAGAATATAAAGGGTTTCATCCTAGTCTAGTAGTGTACTTAACCCAATATTTTACCTTCGCATTGGAAGAATGGGCCCTACAAGAATAAAGCTATCTTCTACGTATCGATGGTACTCTTGCGGCTCCACATTCAAGTGATCGGCAACTCTGCGACATGATAACGGATCATGTTTATGCATGTTGAATTACTATCTCTGGTGTCATTCTTGATGGTCAACGAACTAGTTTATGGGCCTCAACCAAGACTTGTCCAAGTGGGGCTACTGCATGCAAATTACTACAGATCTGTTAGATAACCATTCATTTTGACCAAAACAGATCCGTCAGATAACCATTCATTTTGAGAAAATATCTTTAATGGATCATTTCAAAACGAATATTTCACAAATAACTTAAAGTTTTCAAATTTTTATTTATTGGGATTCTCAGATTTTAAATTTTCGTTCATCCTAAGATTGTCATCCATTATAATTTTCTGATTAAATTTTTTTATTTAAATAATTAGAATTGATTTTTATAAAAAAATTTTCCATACTTGAATTTCAAATCTTTTTCTCGTACCCAACCTAAAAAATGTCATATTTTTCTCATATCACAATTACTACCAAATTTTTACTTTTGTAATCAAAATTTAAAAAATTCACCTCTCACCGAATTTGGTTTTTTTTCCGACTTTTTTTTTTTTTGTTGATAAAACATATATCATCTAAATGATTATATAATATATACTTTTTATTATTATATACTATTATGTTATAGAATATATTTCAACTACCATTATATAATATATTTTTATCCCATAATTTACAGTATGATAAACTCATATACTACTCCAAAATGTTGTATAATATATAGTTTTTAGTTGTATATACTCAAATATTTAGGTTATATAATATAACTCTTTGTGGTATATATAGTTATGTGATATATACCTTGAAGTAATCCATATATCCAAAATCTAATCAACTCCCTAACATGATTTTAGGTTTCTAAATTAGAGATTTAGGGATCTAGGGATTTTCAAAACAAAAATAAGGGATTTCATGAAACATGATTGCACGATTTTAGAGATTTCGAAACAAAAATTAATTCTAAATTTAGTTTCATATTTGATTTTATTTTTTATTTTTATTTAACAACCTATAAGTAATTTTTCTAATAGAAAAAAACAGAATATTGAAAAGTTGAAAATAAAATATAAAAATTAATAACAAAAGTTCAGAAGCAACAAAAGAGATCTAAACCATTAAAATACCTTCAATGAAGAAGTCAAATTGCACACATGTACTGGTAGTAACTTCAACAAAACTTCGCCAAGCAAATAGAGACAGATGCCATTGCCACCCTTTGAAACATACTGCATGATAGCATTAACCTGCAAAACTGTGACATGGTGAGGAATTATTTCAGCTCTGCCATTTCCACATATACTTTCAGTATAAATTCTTTTACAAAACCTTATACTCTAGACCCGAAACCAGTCTAGACACAGGAACTGCATTCGCCACCAAGAAGTAAATTAAACAGGGCTTCAGAATAGCACTTAACACTGGAAGAGCTATTTGGCCTTTCCTGCAGCTAGAAGAAGTTAAGGATAATGTGCCAATAGGCCGGACCTGAATTCAGACAAGACTCTTCTTTGTTTGAGCTGTGCTCCCACGCACGCAAGTACATAACCGACTCAACAAGTGGAAAGTTCATCTGTGATATTATTTCATGGCAAGCTTAAAAGTTTAAGCAAGTATAACAGAAAAAGTTCAACAAAATATGTCTAGAAATTTAAGATGTGTTTGAAATAACTCTCTGTATAACCATAACATGGAGAAACACGACTGCGAGGTTACGATCGAGTGGTGGAACCAAAATGATAGATCTACCTCGACAAATATGAATGTTTCGACAGGTGGATTTGATCACCTTTTGTAGGAAAATATCAGAATTTCTACAGCTTCAACCCTACTGAAGTACATGGTGTTTTCATTTTGACTAAGCACGGTGATGAAATTAATCAACAGTTTACAACAATTTTGGAGATTCGTATGTAATGTTTTTACAAGAGTGGGAATTAACCAACCAATCAGAATTTAGAACCTATGGTAAAAAGGTGAAAAGACTTCAGAACTAAATTATCAAACAGGCACCATTTTCCTGTAATTAACTTGCCAAACAAACACAGCATTTACAGGACCCAGGAAAGCAGTTGGGTTTTTTTTTCCTTTTTTTTTTGTTTTTGTTTTTGATTATGTTTTTTG